ACAGACTGTACGCGTTTTATTAGAACTCATAGTTGAGTTTTTCTTTCATGCGACTATGATAATGATTTTTAAGTCATCTATATAACGCAATGAGCTTTTTAAGTTAGTGTGTAAATTTCGTGTGTGTCGTTTCTATATTACCGCTATGTCAAACTCCTGGAGCTAACCACCAACTGTGATCTGCTCATTATAAGTATTATCTGTCCTTATAAATTTTATTTTCTTTATCTGTCGGTTCAGTCTATTTATTTGTCAGTTAATCTAGATATCAAGTTGTTTAATCATTTAACAATATAATTATTCACGTTGTTAATCCATTAATCCATTTATTTATCTTTATCAAGTTCTTGAAAATCGAGTTACTTACAAGCCATATTTCCCAACAAAGGATCACAAATACTGATCCATAAAAGTGGAATAACATTGATTTGTACATAGTTTCCTAACAGAGACTTGTATATATCTATAATTGTTCAGATATTTGGTAGGCATGAATTTAAGGTTTACTGGGGAGGTGAAGTTTGTCTTCTTCTATATCTGATAGCTGAAGCTGGTTTTGAATTGTGACGCAGTACTTGAACTTATTATCAATGTAAAATAAACCAAAATTACTACCTATACATTTTCTTATGAAGACTGTATTGCAAATTATATTTCTTCGCTATTATTTCAATGCTACTATTAAATGTGTATGTAAAACCAATACCAGTATTTTCTTATTTTTACTATAAGAGAACAGACAAAATGTTTTATACCTAACATATGTTACCATGTATTACCTGAGCTACTCTTATAATCGACTGATCTGAAAACATAGCTTACTAACTCCTGAAACGGATCACTACAAAATTATTACAAAACTACTCAGAACGACCAAGCTCTGGACCAACTAGGTGGCTTCTCGGAACCTTTACAAACATCTAGGAACATGTATTTCTCGTTGGTATATTAACAGAATAAGTAACAAATCTCTTGCAATGCGAGCTATAGTGACTTGTTACGAGATTTAATGCTCATTCCCTTTTAGCAAAGTTCTTCTCAAGAACGTTAATGACATTCTGGATATGTCTAGTTTGTCTTAGTTCAACCAGTTTAGGTGTGTTTTTTTCTGTTTTTATAAAATTCAAGTGAAAAATAACAAGCCCTATGTGAATCCCCAAGTAGAATAACGAACTGAATATCCATTCTCACGTAACAGCTTCATTTAAGTTGTGGAACAGTTTCTAAAACCAAAGAACGTTTTAACCTGTGAAAACCTTGTTGTGAGAAGACCTTTGAACTCCGTAATGATTATGTTTTGTACAGCAGTATTGTAATAGCCGATAGATAGATAATGGAATTATAAAATGGATAACACACACATAGCGTGACATATCCAATACTCACCACATATAATAGTTTTATGAATATATAATTTATTACGCAGCCAGTTAACACATTATCTCGAGCGTATGGCTATTTTTGCCTCCAACTTGTTTTAAACCACACTGCAAACTGAGCATCATGTCAAGGAAAGAAATGGGCTCTAGCGCTGTTAGATAAATTATATCGTATTACTCTAAAAGGCAAGTTTTCATAAAGTCCATTATTTACTCTTACTTTGAGAATGAAAAATGGTTTTTATGTTTTCATCTTTTTTTTAAATCTATAAACGGGGAATATTTAACTCGACTCAACGAATCGAGTAAGCCGATGGAATGAAATATTAGACTTACTATCGTGAATTCCGTGGATAGCAAAGTGAGATATTCCTTATAAAAGTAAAAAAAAAATTAAAAGGTACATGGAATGTACACATATTATACCGCTGTGACCTAAGTCAGCTTATATAACTAAGGAATTTGATATTATACCCACGTATAAAACTTTTCAAATAACCGGACTATTTATATCGTTATCGACGTCTGACGGGTCTGCTATACTGCTGTTCAACCCTAAATGCACTCGAGTAAAAATATTGTTCAGTGACAGCTATAATTGAACTTAGTAAATAAATTTAATTCGGTTACCCTACTAATTTGACATAAATACTTTAAATGTTCTAAAATATCATTAAGGGCAAAGAGAACCTTTTATGTTACCCTATCTTTCTTTTAGTTAAAATTCGGGTTTCTATTCCTGCCGTGGGTTTTACTAAACAATAAAATAACACTACTAAAGATAAATAAACATGACTGTTGTATTGTCTTTATGTAAACAAATAAATTATATTATACATATGTATATATAGGATAGATTAGACTTACTAATGTTTTTGTAAACACGCACAACTCTGAGAAATCCATTTCCAAGTATAAGGTGAAGCGTGTCTAAAAAACGATTCCTACATTATAGAAGTATACACTGATACTAACTAAAAAAGCAAACCTCTATAGTGAAAATAACCCACAATAAGCTTCGTTATCGGTGATACAATGAAATCTCCAATAACTGTCCTTTTCTGTTTTTGTACCATATAAATACTTTTATATTCTTTCCCAAAAATACAATGTTTTTGTTTTATATAAATGTTTTTATGTTCTTTTCCGAAAATACACCGTTTTGTTCTGCATAAATGCTTTTATGTTCTTTCCCAAACATACACTTTTTTCGTTCTATATATGCTTTTATGTTCTTTCCAAAACATACACTTTTTTCGTTTCTATATATATATATATATATGCTTTTATGTTCTTTCCAAAACATATATTTTTTGTTCTACATAATCATTTTATGCTCTTTCCCGAACGAACACACAGACCTTTGTGTGTGTGGGTTAAAAAAATAGATGATTTAGAAAGATTCAGTTATACTTGGTCATGTAGGTTTTCTTGTATTGGGTATTGGTAGAGTAATTAAACATTTTTTGTTAAAATCTAAACAAAAGAATAGCTTGTAAACTGAACAAGATAACATAACACTAACTAAAATGTTCTATGCTATTTTTGTTTCGCAAACGGCGTTGAATTAGTCTTATTTCGAACACTGGTTTTAGTTGAGGAGTGAGTTTTTACTAAGTTTTATACTTATTTCTTTTACAAAAATATATAAAAATATTTGTCCTAGTCTATTTCTCTATCTATCAACATAGAGATTTTGTAATTTTTAAGCGTGTCATTAGAGACAAAGAATATTAAAAATGCCAGTGAATCTTGATGTCTTACAGAATGAACACGCAGTAGTGTGTTCGACCAAAACAACGCGCAGAACACACTGTTTAGCGATTTTCCAAATTATGTAGCTCAAACTATGGTAATCTAAACTACAAATACTTCAGTGGATATGCTCTAGTAGAACTTTATTTCACATATCAAATTTCTGGGTATGTGAAATTTAGAAATTAAGAAATACACGAGATATAAAGTATCCAATTTTGATTGAATATTTTCGCACTGAAAGTACGGAAACTTTATTTGATAGAAAACTGAAAAACATGTTTAATTTTTAAGGATTTTTTTTTCAAATTTGGTACACAGATAGACTTTCACAACCTACAATTAGGTGTCAAATTTGGTCAAAATATAATCTACATGTGCAAAGTTCTTCAACAAAAACCGCTCAAATTTGACCAACCTTTTTTGCGCACGCTTACGCAAAAATTTACGCGAGCTATCGGTCTGAAATTGTAACTACAGCTTCACCTAAGAGTAAAAGTGGAGTTTTAAATTTTTGTCATTCAGGTTAAGACGGCTGATTTGGAGCAGCAAAACTACAGGGTGAAATGACGTGCAGATACGCAAGTATTGATTAGGCCAAGAAAACTAGATTATCGGTTTCTAGCTCAAGTTTTCAAAACAATCATACAGGTGGACGGTTATTATTCATTATTCTTTGCCAACTTTTCAGCAGAAATTTGCTAAAGTTTATGAAATTCTCCTCATTAAAGAGCGTTTAGCGTCAGATGTATTACTTTATGCAATTAGCTTAAATAATGATGCTTGATGCGGCTGTACCAACTGCATGCTGGTGATGACAAGAAACTATTTATCTAAATTCCGTAGCATTACTATAAAGGAAGTCATTAACACTGTTTTAGAGAAAAAAACTACGAAGATATATTTTAAAGAGTCTGGTTGGTTCTGTAAAGTATAGGTCTGTTCCGAATAATAGGGTTGCGATTCTAAAGTTAATGTTGGTTACTATCGAATGTCACTTTGTTACTTGCTGTGGTTTGTCGGTGAGTATTGACAAGAAGTCATATCTAATCAAAAACATCTTAGGTGTGGAAAAAGGTGCGGCCAAAAAAGGATTGAGTGTGCGACTTAAAAGAATGAAATCAAAATTGACGGCCAAACTGATAGCTACACTTATATATAACTAACAACGAATTAATAGGCCTAATAATAGCGGTAAAAAAAACAAAATGAGACAGCAGACGCAGAAGAATGTAGAAAAAAATCTACAATCTAGTTTGATTTTCATCACTACTTTTAAGCCTTTTGGTTTCATTACTTATTACTTTCCGCACATTCCTACGTGACCTAGACCAAATCTTCTGATGGCATAAAACAGTTAAAATTAAAAAACATCATAATTTTATGAAGCTATTCAAAAAATATTTGTGATTAAAGATTTTATCAAAACGCATTTCTGCAAAAAAATATAGTATTTTATCAATATTATAAAGCCAAAAGATAGATAATGTAAACATTGGTAAATACGAATTTAGAATAAAATATGATAATAATAAGAGCCATTTTTAATTTATTATTTTATTTTATTTAATTTTTTATTTTTTATTTTAAACCAATACTAGCGTATAAAATATATTCTAAAAAAATTCATTTACAAATATTTTTTTATAATAAAACTAATAACATTTACTACGAAAATGAAGACTGTAATAGACATTATCTCTGGTAAACTATTCTGAGAAAAGCATAAGATCAGTGATATTTCGGAATCGGCTGAATTCGGTTACCAAACTTAAATTTCTTGCAATAATAGTTACAGTAAGAATTTATTATACGTATATTTTCTGTTTATTTTCACTTCTATAGAGGTGATAAATTGGTTTGCACCTTGGAATATGAAGAGCGACATTGTCCAAGCTATCAGCTTGAGATAGGTGTCCAAATCTCGACTCCAGGCTTCGTCTGGGAGAAAGAGGTGGTACATAATCGCAGTGGCCGCTAGATGTCGCTCTATTTCCTTGATGTGAGCGAACATAAGATCTCTCCACTTCGGCAACAGCGTCTGGACGTGTCATTGGTCGGTTTTGGGCAGGCTGCTTGTGACGTCGGCCGAAAAACCACAAGTTGGACATGTTAGCCTAATGAGATGATATATTTCGAAATCTTCATAGTTTTAAAATGTTAAAGAAGCGGTTATTGGCATGATTCAATTAATGTACAAGATGTACGCACTTAGATAATTGAAAAATTTATATATGTTCTGAATTTCGTGGAAAATACGTAAGAAAATGAACATATTTCAAGAATAGAAATAAATTAAAATTTGGAATTTTACTAGCCCGATATTTTCTTATTCTGATTAACCATCAATTTAGGTATTTATACCATATTCAAGTAAGACTTTCACTTGTAATAACATAGATGTCTGTATTTTATCAAACAATAACTATGTTCAGCCTATTCTCAAGTTAATGAACTATATATACATTTAATAGTGTTTGTAAGATAAAGAAATAAAAAAAATATACACATTATCTTAGCTATCAATAGTGTTATGACACACAATCATAAAAGTTACTAGGGTTTCACAGGTGACGGTGTTAACGTTTATTATATCTATATATCTAACCTACTTAATAAAGTTACTCGGGTTTCACATGTGACGGTGTTAACGTTTATTATATCTATATATCTAACTTCCTTAATAAAGTTACTC